CTCCAGTCGGTCTCGACCCTGACTCCAGCCGGTCTCGACCCTGACTCCAGCCGGTCTCGACCCTGACTCCAGCCGGTCTCGACCCTGACTCCAGCCGGTCTCGACCCTGCGTCACAAGTTATCACAGCGAGAATTTCATCGAGAGATTTCGAACCAAAAAAAACGGAGACAGACCTACGGCGGAGACAGACCTACGGCGGCGACGGACCTACGGCGGCGAGGGACGCTAGAACGGAGCCGCACCAGTTGGTGCAGCCGGAGCAACCCCAGCCAGTGCAGTCCCCGCTCCGAGTCCAGTCCTTTTCGGTTGGTCTTTGACGGATGGGCGCATGGCGGGGAAGAGGATTACTTCTTTGATGTTGGCATTATTGGTGAGGAACATGACGAGTCTGTCAACGCCGAGACCCCAACCGCCGGTGGGGGGAAGGCCGTGTTCGAGGGCTACACAGTAGCCTTCATCCATGAATTGTGCTTCGTCGTCGCCAGCGGCTTTGTCCTTGGCTTGTTCTTCGAAACATCGACGTTGGGTTTGTGGATCATTCAGTTCGGTATAGAAGTTGGCGAGTTCACGGCCCATGACAAATAGTTCGCAACGTTCCGCAGCATCCGGAGAGCTACGATGCCATTTGGCTAGAGGGGACATGATCTGGGGGTGGTCTTTAATGAATGCAGGATTCATGCAGCGTGGTTCGACGAAGTGTCCGCATAGCTTGTCCAGTAATTTGGTTGCCGTAGGCGGGTGCGGCCAGTCGAGTTTTTCGGCCTTGCAAATAGCCTTCATCGTCTCCACACATTCCGCAGAGTCCAGCGGCCTCGGCAGTTTGGTACCGCTGCACTTCTCGATCTCCTCTACAAAACTGAACCGCGGCCAGGGTGGCGTGAAATCGATTTCGACTGGTTCGCTCTTCTTCGTCTCAACACCTGGGTTCTCCGCACCGGTGTTGTCGGGGTCGTACATGATCTTGTAGCTGCCGGTGAGGTCTTTGACCATGCTGGAAATCAGGTGTTCGGTCAGTTCCATGAGGTCATGGTAGTCTGCGTAGGCCTGATAGAACTCGATAGAGGTGAATTCCGGGTTGTGAGTCAAATCAATACCTTCATTCCTGAAGTTTTTACCAATTTCGAACACACGATCCATGCCACCCACAATCAACTGTTTCAAGTATAACTCGGGTGCTACACGCATGTATAGCGTCATGTCAAGGTCGTTATGATGCGTGACAAAAGGCCGTGCGCTTGCTCCCCCCGGGATTTGATTCATCATTGGCGTCTCTACTTCGACGAAAGCGCGGTCCGTGAAGTATTTGCGAAGATACTGCAGTACTTGTGAACGCAGTTGGAACGTCTTCTTTACCTGCGGGTTAATCATCAAGTCAAGGTACCGGCGGCGGTAACGGATTTCTTGGTCTTTAAGTCCGTAGTGCGCCTTCGGTAACATATATAGACACGGAGATAACACAGCAATCTTTAACGGGAAGATGGATAACTCGCCTCGTTTTGACCGGCCTGGGAAGCCGCGCACACCGAGAATGTCGCCACGACGGATCCGGTTCTGGTCCTCCAGAAAGTCTTCACCTTCGCCATAGGTTTGGGCATCTGCAAACACCTGAATCTTCACATCATCACCAACCAAGTCATAAAAACGCAACTTATTACTACTACCGGCCAGACGCATCACACGACCTGCAACACATTCCACCACATCCGGCAGACGCGCTCCATCTTCAATCTTCACGTACTTCTCCACATACTCGTTCAAGCGGCACGTAACCGGAAACTTGTGGGGGTAAGCCGCCTCGCGACCTACCGCGTTCACCGCCGCTAAACGAGCCTCGCGATAAGACTGCGCTTCAGCCTCCTCGTCCACCTCCGGCTCCTCCACCTTGCCTTTGGCACCTTGTTTGCCTGCCGCACTTTGTTTGTTCACGGCCTTTTGCTTCTTCGCCTTGGTGGTTCTCGGTGAGTCTCCCGTTCCTGAGTTTCCCGTTGGCAGTGTAGAAGCCGCAGTCCCAAGATCCATGTATTTTTTTTTAATGGACCTACGGAAGAATGGGCCTACCGGCCGGTCGGGGGGGAGGACGAGTCGACGACGACGAGAACCTGCCTCTCATCCGCTCCATAAACACATGGCCAAGACAAAGATGTGTCGTTGGGCACTGACCGGGGATTGTGAGAGAGAAGCCAGCTGCTTTTTTGCGCACTCCCGAGCTGAATTACGTGAGTGCCCAAACCTACTCTTTACGCGACCTTGTGCCAAACTTACGGAAAAGTCCTTTTGCCCCGACGCAGACGACTGCAAATTCGCACACTCTTCTTGCGAACTTAGAAACGCCGACGAAGATCTACCGCCCGACCTTGGTAAGCCTAACCCAGTGCGGAACCTTGCGCAGAACCAACTGAACCCCCCCCCCCGGCGGCTATCAAGGGGGG